GGAACTAATTCGAGTCCAGAGGATTTACTGAACTTGGGAAATGAGTGTGCAGACTCTGACATTCTGGCCTTTCAAAGCAAAAGAATATTCTTAATAGAGAAACGATTCACCTTAAAAAGAACATGATGCATAACAGGTTTATTTTCTGAAGACTGTGCAGGTTTGTTACTCACCCTTGTCTTATCAACACCATAGCTTTTGCACAATCAGTATAATAATTCTCCTTGTAGCCTCTACTTTGGAAGCTAAGCTGGCAAGTTATCACAAGAGCGGAACTGAACATAGACATCTGAAATGATTTACTTCTGCAATAACTCAGTACTAAACTGCAACTTCATGCCTCAATAGCAAGTGAAAGTGTCTTTGGTTTTTTAGAAGTAAGCTCTTACAAGTTAGTGAGAATTACAAGAATACACAGAATCCTCTGGTTCTCCCTTGCAAGAACTTAACCCTCCTTCCCACTCAACAATTTAAATTGTTTTTGTTCATTTTTTTCCTCCAGTTGGAAAGCAAGAAGCTAAAAGATATTTACAGAGGAGCATCAGTAAGAGGAATTCAACTTCCTCTCTTCCATAACCTTGTTTTCCCTTTTAAATGCTACTATGTTCATCATGAATTCATTCCTTTAATCTCATCAAAAATAGGGTAGAACATTATTTTAAACCAGAAACAAGATTGGATGCATGGTAAAACAGCTGGCTAGAAAGTAAAGAGTGGGAGATACAAACTTCTAAAATATATGAGATATTAGGCAATCCCACAAATTTAACATAACAGATTTGAATGAGAAGTTTAAAGAAAAATCTATAGCAACAAAGAAGCTGAGGATTAATTGGCATCATTTTATATTTTTAACCCATTAACATTTTTAACCCATTTTATATTTTTAGCCCAAGACCACAAGAACCTGCCATCTTGTTGCTGCTGATACAGCTAGCAGCTGTCCAAGGCCCCTCTTCCTCCTCAAAGAGGCCACCAACCTAAGTACTGGTGAGGACAAGTAACATGGGCACTGTGTGGATGGGGTGTCATCTCAGCCTTCCATCAGAGTTGACCCATTAAATATTGAGAAGTGATGCCTGAGTTATCTGGGGCTTTTTTTCCCCTTTTCCAACCTCTTTTGTAAGCCCAAGTTAGGGACTTATCTTATTATCATATATCCTGCTCTGAGGTCTTTCATGATGAGGAGGATAACATAAATGATCCATATCTCACCCCCATTATATCTACCCGTCCCACCCAGTCAGGCAGAGAAGGTATGCTGCAGACCCCATAGATGAAAGAATGTCGACTGGCGGGGTCCAGAAATAGAGCCTTCTCTGCCATGGCCCCCGCCCTATGGAATATTCTTCTGCCAGAGGGGAGGCAGGCCCCAACTCTCTTGTCCTTCCAGAAAGCAGTCAAGACCTGGCTCTGCCAACTGGCATGAGGCGAAAAAAGGGGCCACCAACCCTCAG